TTGGGCATTGGGCATCGTCACATTAGACATCACTGAATCTAGTGTTTAATCAAGCATTTTATTTTATTTTTTTTTAAAAAATATTTATTTATTTATTTTAGAGAGAGAGAGTGCATGTGAGAGAGATAGCATGAGTGAGGGAGGTGCAGAGGGAGAGGGGAAGCAGACTCCCCACTGAGCGGGGAACCTGATGCATGGCTCAGTCCTGTGACCCTGAGATCATGACCTGAGCCGAAATCAAGAGCTGGACACTCAATGGACTGAGCCACCCAGGTGCCCCTAATCAGGCATTTTAAGTCTTGTGAATTCTCTTTCTGAGCATTAAGCATTTCATTCTCTCCCCATTTTTCAAGTTGCATTTGAAACAACCCATCTGGACTAATGCAGGTCAGATTGCCTTTGGGGACCACACCAAAAATGGGAACCAGTAATTTCTCGATGGGCAAAATTAGTCTTACGCCGTGGGACAATTAGCACTAATCCATGAAACTTGGAAGCAAATTTGACCTAAGTCTCCATTCAAGCCAAACTGGCTTTGAATTTATTTGAGGTGTTATGTGGGCACTTTCCTGTTTGCTCATGGGCACAAAAGGCTTTGGCTATAGACCACAGAGCTAAGAAAACAAAGCAAAGCTTTAGTTCTTGGATGGCTAAGACAGAGATGGCAACGTGACATTCATACTCAATAGCTACCATTTATTGAACACTTGATATCTCTTTGGTGTTCTTCCAAGGGCTTTGATCGCATTGTCTCATTTAATTGTCACAACAATCTTGTGAAGTAGTTTTTTATTCCTCCCATTTAGTAGATAAGAGAGCAGAGTCCCATAAGTATTAAACAATTTGTTTAAGGTCACAGAGTTAGCAAGGTGGGGGGCCTGGGAGTCAACTTTTGCCTGGGCTGCATTTCATCTATGTGAATAAAAAGTATTACTACATTGTTGAAAGTACAAAGTTTTCAGGGCACCAGGGTGGCTCAGTTGGTTAAAGTCTAGTTCTTGGTTTTGGCTCGGGTGGTGATCCCAGAGTCCTGAGATTGAGCCGCATGTCGGGTTCGTGCTCAGTGGGGAGGAGTCTGCTTGAGATTCTCTCCCCCTCTTCCTCTGCCCTGTCCCCCATTCATGAATTCTCTCTCACTCTCAAATAAATAAGTAAATCTTAAATAAAGTACAAAGTTTTCCCCAACTCATATTTTTGAGAGTCTGAACACATTGGTTACTTTTTTGACCCAAGAAGAGAAAAAATGATGAAAACCTTATTTTTTTTTTGTGGGTCTTATCCTTTTCCCCTAGTTATCGTGATGTCATGAGGATCTTTCCATCGAAATTTTGCTTTGAAAATTTATTGGATATTATATTACTTCAGATTATTGGATATTATATTACTTCAGAAATGGGTCTGAAGATCATTCCCAAAAAGCATGAGTATAGCTTTGTGGAAGGGCTCTGCAAAGAGACAGACAAGTAGGGAGAGATCCAGGGGCAGATGAAAATGAACCAGGTTGCAGTTCATCAATTAAAGTTAAAAACTTGCTTTGTGGGAGGGTTATGACATCGTGTGATATATAGGCAATTATCAGTATTTAACTGTAGGTAATAGTAGTTATCGATCAACATCTGCCTCTTGCCCTACTTGTTAACCGTGTTAGTTGTAGTGTGGAAGGCCAGGTTATGTGTGGGGAGGGTGCGATTACATTGAATTATAGGTCCTAGAATTACATTTAAGAGGTGATAGTGAACTTTGTAAAACTTGCTCTTTCTGCCCTACTAGCTAAGACATTGGCAGAACACTCATATTCTCCTTTAGAACATCAAGGCCAGTTTGTTTCTGTGGCCATTGCTACTCTTTTAAAAACAAAGAGAAGTTTCTGGTAGTTGTAACAACTGAGTCATAATGCCTTCCACCCAGTTTAGATGAACTTTTTTGGTGTTATACACTCAAGCAGTTCATTTAGTAGACTATTATTGATTGTTAGGAATTAGTGAAACAATATTGAGTTATCAAAGACCTCTGGGTACTAAAGGGAATGCCTTTCAAGTAAAGACAGGGTCATAGCAGTATCCCAGGATCACTGTGCTTGGTAAGTTTAGATCGTTAAAACGGAGATTATTTCAAAGGCACCCTTTTCCTTTTAAAAACAGCAGATATGTCTTTTATCAGTTTCAAATTATAAAGGAGGCAAGGACCTCTTTCTGATTTGTGGCTTCAGTGCATGTATGTATGTATGTATGTATGTATGTATGTATGTATCTATCTTTAATGCTACTTTTGGCAGACACAGCTGGTTTTAGGAGATGCAGAAGACTGACAAAGGCAGGATGATAAAAAGTCTGCTTAAATGCCCAGCGACAGGAAGGAGAGTCCTCACTCCTCAGGAGTCTCTGGTTCTTTCAGGACTAAATAGCCCTCTGGATTTATTTAGCCTAAATTTAAACATCAGTTGAATTCCTTCCACTGGCAGACTCTTGAACCTCCTGCTGAAAGTTTGTTTTTTAGTAAAGATTTGTTTCCCAACTATTTCTCTTCAACTTTTCTTGTAGGCATAATAGATATTGTATTGTAAATGTGAGAACTTTCTACTGCAACTGCTGGTGGGTTTACTCAGTGTCTTCAGTATTTGGATCATTTTGGAAAAATGAGAAGAAAACCCCCAACACCTTACATCCCCAGTCTTTCGGATATTTGAAGCTATCTATAGAAAGTTATGATGTTTCCTCCAATCTATTACTTGACCAAAGACATGTCCGATATAAAAAAAATTGAGTTATGGAGGAGTGAGAATGATCTTGGATCAACAGTAGCTTGAGATCAATGAGGGTGATCAGGCAGAGCCATCCACTGGGTGGATCAAACCTGGTTTACTTATCTAAAGGTTACAGGAGGAAGTTGGCCCAAAGAGATTGGAGGCATGTTATTTAAACGATGGAAGTGTGAGCTCTGGGTTCTTCCTAAAGGATCTCACCAGTAGAATCGAGGCTAGTAAGTCTGAATGAGTGAAATCACATTGAAACTCTGGGAAATTCGATGCTCTTCCCAGCCAAAAGCAGGAGATGCCCTGGATATAGTTTGGTTGAGATCAGTGTCGGAGACCGCTACATTTGAGCTGGGGGTGATTTATTAATCTCAAGGTTTTTAATGTAAAATATGACCATGGTGTGTGATATAACACAGCACACTCAGGCACGGAAGTGGCCCCCATTTACTACCCTCCACCTCCTCATCCCAAAACAGCTTGTTCTAGACACTTGGGCGCGACCTGGTTACAGACGCTCAGATTCACAGTGAGCAAACACAGTTGCTGCAGACCTGAAATGGAGTGCTGGCTTGTTCATGGGTCTATTATCCCAGGTGGCAATTTATTAAGTTAAGTAAAACTCTAACTCAATTATGTATCAACATGGAAAAATATTGACTTACCTTCTTTTCCTGTTGGAAACTTAAAGAGTATTAAATGTTAGTATTTTGAGGAAGTTCAAACAGCTTTCTTTACCGGTATCATAGGATGTGCCTGGAGAAGACCAGACTCCTTTTCAGACAAGTGCTTGGGTGACTAGCAAAAGTTTAAGCAGATGCTTTGGTGAGGTATTTGTTAAACTGGGCTTTTTTGCTCCAAAAGGGAGAAATTCCTACCTCCACTCTTTCAAGAGTTTCCACGATTTCAGAAAAATTCAGTTAAGTTGTATAATTGTTAATTTTGTTCTATAAGGAAATCAAGTCTTACCTTTCCTTAGACAAGTTGGTCTCCTTCATTATCATCTCCATCTGGAGTGACCTTTTGTTGAAATCATATCTATACTCTAAAATGAGTTCAAACTCTCTGTCCACTCAAAACTTTCCCTGATTCTCTGCATTTCCAAATATGGAGCTTCTTCCTCTCGTGAGCTCTTATTTCGGTTTCCTTGAGGACTCTGTGAATTCCAGAGGATAAGCCTGAAGGTTACTGGGGTGCAAGGTTCATCCCTTTATCCTTCTGACTGCAAGCACGATGTTTTATTTTTATGAAGTTTTCAACGAACTTTCCATATAGGAATTAGGATACCTTTAATTGGTAGAAATACTGTATAATTTTGGGAGAAACATCATAAAAGCACTCTCTCAAATCCTCCAAAGTTCCACATTTAAGCCGCAGATGTAAAAACTGGGCAAGGAGATGGGGTCCGTTAAAAGCCTAATATCACAATTCCTTAACGTTTTAGATGTCCAGTTACATTTCTTACTCCCATTATCACCATTTCTCCCCAGCTCTCTACCAAAATACACCGGCTTTGAATTCTCCAAAGGCATTTTATTATATTATACCAATTTTTTCTGAATGTACCTCCGTACTCGGCACGGAGTATTATAGGTGCTTAAAGCTGTTGTTGGAAGAAATAATTAATTATTTAAGGGATCTTCTTAGATAAAATGCTTTCATTTCTTGACATACCTCTTTGGCATTTATTTCCATTAAGATCAGAGCAATGTCTCAACTTTGAAAAGGGATGGAACAATGTTTCCATTTCTCCTCCTGGTCAGTTTATAGGACGATATAGGAGCTATGCCTGTAATGACCATAGAAATGCAAAGATAGACTGATAAAAATATTAAATACAAAGTTAGTGTGATAGGCAAGATCCAGTTAGGACATAGGTCACGTACGGGTCGAGGAAGCTCATACACGCTCCCTACAGTGCTGTGATAGGTGAAGGCGAGTAGGTGTTGGTGATGGCGACCATGGGGAAGAGTTCCAGTGGCTTCCACTCCTGCTCAGCCATCCCTGCCCATGGTCATCCTGGGGCTTGTGGGGGCTCTGCAGGACCATGGAAGTTCCAGGAAGCCCCTTTCCTGACCTCTGACATTGAGCTCTCCTTTCTCTCCACAATATAACAGAAGATGGAGGGCTCTTGCATCTCTTTGCCCTGTCAGTCAGGGGCCTTTAATCTGTTTTAGCAAGAAAAATTCATTAAGAATGTACTATTATTTCATCAGTGAAATCCTCAAATTTTAAATTAAATCCATAGGTTTGGTTTAGCAACCGCCGTGCGAGATGGAGGAAGCAAGCTGGGGCCAATCAGCTGATGGCTTTCAACCACCTCATTCCGGGGGGGTTCCCTCCCACTGCCATGCCGACCCTGCCGACATACCAGCTGTCAGAGACGTCTTACCAGCCCACAGCTATTCCGCAAGGTACGGAGGGAGTCGAGGGGATAAAATAGAACTCCCCATTGCGTTCTCTGCTGCTGGGAGATCTTCCTCGATGCTGACATTGCTGTTGTTTGGGTGTTAATGACCTGATACCAGGCTGTCCTGGAGGTTTACCTGTCCCATTTCAGAAAGCTACATTGTTTGGTGACATAGTTGGATTGCCCTAGATGAGCTATGTTATAACACTCAGTATTTTATTTTATTTTTTAAAAGATTTTATTTATTTATTTGACAGAGAGAGAGAGAGAGAGATCACAAGTAGGCAGAGAGGCAGGCAGAGAGCGAGGGGGAAGCAGACTCCCTGCTGGGGCAGAGAGCCAGATGTGGGGTTCCATCCCAGGACTCTGAGATCATGACCTGAGCTGAAGGGAGAGGCTTAACCCACTGAGCCACCCAGGTGCCCCTTATTTTATTTTTTAAAATATTTTACTTATTTATTTAAGAGAGAGCAAGAATGAGTGGGGGAGGGGCAAAGGGAGAGGGAGAAGCAGGCCCCCCACAGCCCCAACATGGGGCTCCATCCCAGGACCCCAGGATCACAACCTGAGCTGAAGGCAGATGCTTAAATCCACTGAGCCACCCAGGAACCCCTGCTTCCATATTTTAAAACAAAACAAAACAATGAAACCAAACCAAACAACTTTCCTAAATAAATATGCCATTTGCTTTTTTTTGGTTAAAATTTTGCTTCTACCTTTGCACTCCTGTCAGCAGTTCACTGAAGTTCTGTGAGAGTTACTAACCACAGCAGCCTTAGAGCAAAGGTAAGCTTTGATCAGGTCGCTGTTGGACGGCGCAGAGAGGTGAATGGGTTCAGTGAGAAGACTGAATTCTCTGGGATTATGAAAGATAGTATTCCAGGCATTTCACATGAATATTTAGGTGCTTTGAAAGCGCGTTTGGTATGAAACGCGAGACTTGCGATTCTGACACTGGTTTGTTCTTAGGCTGATTCATAATATTTGCTACCAAAAATAGGTTCGTTCTCATTGTTCATGTGATTTCTGCATTCGTGTTCTGGGTGAGTCTGCCCTGAAAGTATATAAAGAAGTTACATCCTTGCACTTTGGTGCAGTGACGGGGCTCTATTTGGAATGAGTGGTTCTCTGTGCATGGTAAGAAACGCAGTTTCAAGTTCATCTTTGGTCTGAGCGACCGATACTCCTGGCGGCTCCAGGATGCGAACTTTGGCTCCGCGCTTTTCCTGCCAGCCTGCGAGGAGTGTTAAGAGCTGATAGTCTTCTTCATTGCAGCGGTGTCGGATCCCAGCAGCACCGTTCACAGACCTCAGCCGCTTCCTCCGAGCACCGTACACCAAAGCACTATTCCTTCGAACCCAGACAGCAGCTCTGCCTACTGCCTCCCCAGCACCCGGCATGGATTTTCCAGCTATACAGACAGCTTTGTGCCTCCGTCTGGGCCCTCCAACCCCATGAACCCCGCCATTGGCAATGGCCTTTCACCTCAGGTCAGTCCTGTGTTTCCAGACAGACGATTTGCTGTATCCCAGAAGCAAACAGTCAATTCCCCTAGGCGGTCATATAATGAATTGCCAAATTTAAACCATAATGTATTCTTTATACAAGCCACATGATTTCAGTTTTCTGGTTTCCTTTCTCTCCACCCTTCCTACGGGCTGTATCAAAAGTTGTAGCTTGGGCTTACAATCCAAGTGATTTTTAATGTAATCAGGGAGAGTCTGTGTTTATATCTCGTTGTCAAGGCACTGGTCCAGTCCACCCCCTAGTTCTGAGCTTTGGGTTAGAAGCTTAGACACATTTTTTGTTTGTTTGTTTGTTTGTTTAAAAAGGTAACTGATCAGCTGATCTGGTTGTGAACAAAAGCACCTAGTAGGAAAACACCAGCGCTTTATTAAAACAATTGGAGAGGAAGCAAGCAAGTTGTGTGGAGGGAGACCAGCTGATGATCCCGAACTCTGGGATAAATGAGTTATAAATGCACAAATTAGGAGAATTACTGCTACTTTGGGAATATATAGATACTTGAATGTTGTAATTGTTTTTCTAATTTGCATTGGACTATCAGCCTTTCTTTAGAGATCATATTAATAAATTGCCTTGATAATTGCATGTCAGAGGGTTGGATAAATTTCCTCCATGTGGCATCTGTCTGAGGTTGACATTATTAGCAGTTGTTTAAAGACAGATCGCTTGATTTTATTAGAGAGCTCTTGGCCCAGGTGGCGAGGATAGTTGCCCACTAAATTTGGAGAAATGTCACAACGGGGTTGCAATCTATAATTGCGATCAAGAATCTCTTCAGGGCCGAGAGGGAGAGTTTCAACAGCTTTATCTTTTCTTAACCCCCTTTTTCCTCTTGGTGGTTAGAAAAACAGAGAGAAGCTCAGAATGACAGAAATGAAAAGTGAAAAGACAATTATACTCAATTACACACTAATCACTGACTATCACCGCCGCCTAAGCACCAAGAGGGCATTCTAATAGGCAGAAAATGAGATTTTAATGGCACAAAGGGTGGCCAAAATAACGACTCCTATATCTTTGCCTTCTTCGTTTTCTTCAACTTGTGGTTTGCGTCTTGGGAGTGCAGGTCCTGGGCTCTGCACCACGGTGATAACTCTGAGCAGCTGAAAAGTTCAAAGCCGTCGGAGTTGAAAAGAATGAATAGCAAAGGCAATGAAATAAACATTTCTGCCTCGAGGCAAAAGTTCATAAATCCTTTTTTGTAACAGTCAATGTAATTAAGTTTCATAGATTCCTATAGCACATCCTGGGATAAGAAATAAGAGGTAGCTTTAAACCTTGGCTGAAAAATAACAACATGAAAAACAATAAACGTGCCTTCCTACAGGACTTTAATACATTTAATTTCCAAGTGCTGGCATGTGTGAATGGGATTTTGCATGAATATCATGGACTTATGTTAGTAGATTCCTCTTTAAAATGCCAGATTTATAGCATTTATATAGACTTATAGAAGCCTCCTCCACAGTTGAGAAGGCACATCAGAAGCAGTGATCTCTGCGGTTCTTAACATCAATTATTTGGGGCCGTAGCGGAACTTTTTTGAACACGACTGGGTTGTGAAAGTTTTCATAAAAAGTAAACTAACCCTAACCGCTTCTGCAAGGTGAGACCCAGGACACCCTTGGTTTTCTTTCGTGTTAATCAGAAAAGAAATAATGACATGGATCTGTATTCTCGAAGTAAAAGTCTTAGCTTCTTGTAAGTCTATGAGCTTGTATGTTATAATAACCGTATTCTATTTCATTCTATTCTATTCTATTAGTATTATGTAACTGGAGTTATTGGCACTTAATCTTGGAACTGTTCTTTGATTTTATGATCCCAGAGTTGGCAGTAGGGTGGGAATCATTCCAATATCAAGCAATGGAAAATTCCACAGGCAACCCTTCCTGTATTTCTTTATTATGCTCTTAAATATTAATTCCCTACTTATTACTCTGTACATATCCCGGATATTTTGCATTTCGATCCTATATTTCCTCCTGAAACCACCAGTAGGAATCCATGTTGTCTTTGTCCTTGCCGCATGCTCAGCGAGTTAGATAAGGGACAGACAGTATGATGAAGTTCCTCCTTGTTTCTTCCGAGGATTGCCTCTATTGAAGCAAGGGGGAGGGGACCAATCCTACTTTTGGTTGTCTGGTTTTATTTGGAATATCCTAAAGATAATTCAAAGATAGCCCACTCTGAACAGCCTGGTTTACCTCTTAACTAAAGAAGAGAGAAAAGAAAGGTCCTTCGGTCTTCCTGCTGATAAGATAGAAGGGCTTACGAATAGATTGGATTGTAGGATATTCAAAATGGGACTAGTCTTACCATTTCTCCTCTTCTTTTCCTCCTCCACTTCCTCTGCTTCTCTCTGGACATCTAATCTGCGGACGAGTCAGCTAGAAGCTCAGAGAGCTTGAGGCCTGCTGAAGACCACCAGGGGCTAGAGAGAGAATTGGGGCTGGAACCTGGGGCCCTTGGCTCAGAGTCTAGGATCGCCCCCATGAGAGTACGTGGTTGGGCAGAGAGGGAAGAGGTTTCATGAAAAATAGAGGCAGGGGGCTTTCATCACATCTTAAAACCATTTACTAGAGATGAGTTTTTAAAAGTTTTTGGTTCATGTTAAATGACATTCTTTTTGCTAATATGCTCTTTACATGCTTTTTGCTTTACACACTTTTCCTATTAACTTCCCTGATAATAAAGGTCCTGCATGGTTATTGTAGAAAATGGAAAAAAAAATTTTTAAAGTGTCTTCAGAGTAGAAAAAAGAAATTACCCTAGGCAACCTCTGTTAATATTTTTACATACTGCGTTCCAGCTCTTTTGGGTCTTACGCCTTTTTAAAAAATATAATGGAAATAATAGTGTATATAACTTTCCATGTTGCTTTCTATCTTAACATTTCAGCATTGGCCTTTCCCCACCAGCTCATTTACATGGAATTGGATTTAAAGGCTTTTGAATTGTTTCAATCAATTCATTGTAGGTCTTTTCAGTGGAGGCTGCTTTACCTGTTCAAAATAATGTGTGCATCGCGTTTGACTTTCTTCCTAGTGGTGCTGGCCATTCAGACTTGGATCGCATGAGACTTGTTTCTCTCTGTGTGCGAGTCCTAGTGTTGGTTTTCTCCTGGAGTCTCTGACATATCTCCTCCCTCAAGCCAGGATTCCTCTAGAGCTTGGAATCAGAGCCATCAGCCCGAGGGCATTTCTTAAATGCCCTGCTCAGTGCTTTTCTCAGGGAGGGTCTCAACTTCATGAGGGACAGGTGTGACACAGTGACACAGGAGGTCACACCCGTCCGGCTGGTCAGATTTGAGGAGCAACAGACTGACATGTATTTTGACAAAAGATCAGAATATTAACAAAATGTTTTAGAAACGTGGGCATCCTTCCTCAAACTCCTCTTGTTCCGAGGGAATCAGTAGCTGTATCTGAAGAATATGGCCATTTTTCTTGTGGAAAAACTTAGACCACTGCCGCACAGTGATCTAAATGGCAGGGTGAGCTGCTGGCCGACTTCAGAGCCAAAAATCTCTCTCTTCCAGTTGTTACTAATTCTCATATAAGCACAAATGATACATTTCACTTGCTGAGGAAGTGTAATGGCTTAGCGAGTCTTCCAGAGGTCTAGCACTGATATTTGACCTGATTTTCCTGCAGGCGTCGTCCAAAGGCTTCGCCAAGTGGAGGGGTTGACTTCACATTCTCCCAGAGACTGGATCTGTCGGGGAATCTGAGACAAGAGTCCCAGGGATGGGTGACAGAGGGGATGGGCTACGACCTCAGCCTTTTCTGCTGTCTCTGAATTGCATTTCATCTGAAACACATACCCCTTGTAAGAGATGGGTCTCTTTTTACTGAATGGCAAACACCTTCTGAGAAGACCATACAAGTCACTCTAGCGAGGGCTTTCTCCCGCAGTAGCAGCCTTCTTTGGAAAGGTTGTGTTGTCTTGGTGTGGGGACCGTACAGAAAGAACACAGAGAAATAGAGACCATGTATTTCCCCTCCAGACTCAGATGGCACGTTCCCAGCACCTTGTTGCACATGGAGGAGAGAGGAAGGAATGCTGACTTGGAATACAGAGCGCCAGGGAAATCCTACCATATGCTTAAGACATGAGACTAATTAACATTTGGCCCATGTTCTTCCAATTAACTCTCCTTTGCAGGAAACACTACCCTTACTGCCACCCGCCCCATCGCCATGTCCAGAACACACAGAACCAAACCCCCAAAATAAGGCCAATTAATTTAACAAACTTCTATCATTTCATGCCCCAGCCCCATCCCATGGCTATAATTGCCACAGTTTTTCGTGACGGTTTCTAATGATTTCTTGAGTGAAATACGGTATCATTGGGGTTGCATGGTTTCTAGAAAGCTTTTTTTTTTTTTTTTTTTTTTTTACTATTATGTTGTATACAAAAATGGGCCAACTTGGCTGCATTCAGGGTTCATCAACCATTGCAAATGATTCTTCAAATGTTTTGGGTTTGGTAAAACCTAAAACACATTTTGCCAAGCACTTTTCCTCCTTAATTTTTCAAACTGTGTATTTTAGGGAAAATTTGATCCATATGGTTTTGATTCATTTACTCTTATATCATTAACATTTTTTTTTCCTACGGAGCCATTTGATATCCAAGAAGCTTTCTGAGCCTTTCCTACGTTCATTTTAAGCATTTTCCTCCTTAAAGAGAGGAAGTCCTCATTGCAACCTCAGAGGCCGTAAATTTTGAGTACTCTCTCAATTCGGCAATGCTTAAAAATACATTTGGTATAAATCTGGATTATTATGAACACATTTTATGTTTAGAGCAGATGGGCAGATTTTCGTTTCTGGTTTATGAGTGAAACCAATGACAAAATAAGAAAATGGGCTTAAATTACCAAAAAAAAGTTTTGTTTTGAGGAACGTCTAACTGTTATTAATAAATCCCTATGGTAAGAGCTGTGCTCCGAGGC